TACTTTAGAAAACCAAGTTTTGCTTCACCATCCATTATTCTTCTGCTATTACGTGCCTGTTGGTTAGGATCTCATCTATTTCATCAATCCATTTATTGTAGTTGATATTGGAATGTCTATGAATAAAGGTGGAAGTAATTTTTATATTTTGTTGCATTGTGAAGGTTATTGGGAAATTAAGCGAGGGAAAGGCATCCCATGTTCCTTATCGAGATTCTAAGCTTACCCGTCTTCTTCAATCCTCACTCAGTGNCATTTCCTTGCTGGTGGAGCATCCAATTGCTTGCTCTTTAGTTCATTTCTTGGCTATGGTTTTATTTTCTATATCAGAATGAGGTTTGTTTTCCATGATATAAACTGCTTGCTGCAATCCAGGTGTCACCTCTTTATGTTACCACTTAGAAACTTGTTGGAAGTGCATTTAAAAACACGAAACTGACAAACTTGTCCCTGCAGTGCTAGCTCTATGTGAAATTTGGGTCCCTTCCCCCCACTTAAAAAAATTATTTGTTTGCTAGAAACAATTAGTTGAGGAATTCCAAGTTCAAGATTATTCACAAATGGATGGAGTGATGTGTACATAAATACATATATCATGGACCCAGATATGGTTTCTTCATGTGTATGTGATCAATACATAAATACATTCATAGAAACATAAAAATTTGCATACCCAAACCAAGTACATAAATTCAAATAGACACCTACACACGTAGGTGCAAGTGTGCATGCTTATCAGGTTATGATAAGTTCTGGTGTGTATGCTTATCAGATTTGTGGTTGCTTTCATCCTCTTGTGCATTCTTTTCCATCTTCGGCCTCTCTAAACTAAGTGTGCTTTTGCAGATGATTGAAAGTAGTGCACGTGGTGATGAGTATGACGGTGTCATCTTCTCTCAACTTGTAAGAACGGGCCTTTTTCATTCTGATATGTGGTTCTGTTGAACTTTAATGTGTCATTCTCATTAATATTAACTCCATGCTACAGAACTTGATAGATTTAGCTGGGTCGGAGAGCTCAAAGACCGAAACTACTGGACTGAGGAGAAAGGAAGGAGCCTATATAAACAAAAGCCTTTTGACTCTTGGAACAGTAGGTGCCTTTTTATAGGGCTTTTGTGTGTTGATTAAATATTTTTGCGCTTTTCCCTAACAAATATAAACGTACAATTAGGACTTGTGTGATTCTGAACCTACTTTAGAAAACCAAGTTTTGCTTCACCATCCATTATTCTTCTGCTATTACGTGCCTGTTGGTTAGGATCTCATCTATTTCATCAATCCATTTATTGTAGTTGATATTGGAATGTCTATGAATAAATTTAATTTTCATGAGAATGTATCTATGTAGCGGATACCTCAAGGTGGAAGTAATTTTTATATTTTGTTGCATTGTGAAGGTTATTGGGAAATTAAGCGAGGGAAAGGCATCCCATGTTCCTTATCGAGATTCTAAGCTTACCCGTCTTCTTCAATCCTCACTCAGTGGGCATGGACACGTTTCAGTGAGTATATGATTTAGAAACAACTTTTTTGTAGTCCGTGCTTCTCGTGAATGGAATTGTTGATGAATCATTTTTATTTATTATCATCTGCTGTCCCTTTTACTTTCCATTAATATTTATGCAGTGAAATTTTCCAACTTCTTTTTGGTTTAACATACAAATTATCTCCAGCTTATTTGCACTGTAACTCCTGCATCCAGTAACATGGAGGAAACTCACAATACATTGAAGTTTGCTAGCAGGGCCAAACGAGTTGAAATCTATGCCNTTAGAAACAACTTTTTTGTAGTCCGTGCTTCTCGTGAATGGAATTGTTGATGAATCATTTTTATTTATTATCATCTGCTGTCCCTTTTACTTTCCATTAATATTTATGCAGTGAAATTTTCCAACTTTTTGGTTTAACATACAAATTATCTCCAGCTTATTTGCACTGTAACTCCTGCATCCAGTAACATGGAGGAAACTCACAATACATTGAAGTTTGCTAGCAGGGCCAAACGAGTTGAAATCTATGCCTCGCGCAATAAGGTTGATTGAAGTTTCTTTTCGACATGAAGTTAAAAGAAAATGTCTGTTGTTCACATAAGCTTTAACACTTTTCTTCCCTCTTTATTATATGTTCAGATAATTGATGAAAAGTCTTTGATAAAGAAGTATCAGACAGAAATTTCAATCCTCAAGCAAGAACTTGATCAATTAAAGAGGGGGATGCTGGCTGGTGTTAATCATGAGGAGATAATGAATTTAAGGCAGCAGGTTTTTGTTTTCTTCGCTTATGTTTGGTGGCCCAATTACTATTTCCAGAATTCTATTTCACTAAGTCATTCTTATTATCATTAAATAGTTGGAAGAAGGTCAAGTGAAAATGCAATCAAGATTAGAAGAAGAGGAAGAAGCTAAGGTTGCTCTCATGAGTAGGATTCAGAGGCTGACTAAACTCATACTTGTCTCTTCTAAGAATTCTATTCCTGGATGTTTGAGTGACGTTCCTAGTCATCAAAGGAACAAATCTTCTTTTGAAGATGTAAGTTTTCTTTATAAGCTTTCTTAAACATGCATATGCACATTCATCTTACATTGTCTTATTTTGCTCATGAAACATTTTACTGTCAGTGAAGGGAACCTGTGGTTCTTCCTCCATACATTTTTGCAACGACAATTATCATCATAATCTGCTTCTATTTAGATAAGATTACAATGAAATTATTAGTTGTGTTACTTGTGTAGAATAAAACATCAAACCAGATATTTTTGTCAAGTGGCCTTCCTTTTCCTATTTCTATGTGACTGAATTTTTGCAGTTCTTACTTTAGTTTGAAAACAATAGATCTGTTGCTCATTTTTCAGTTTTCTTTTTCAGAAGGTTGAGGTCACCCAAGGGTTACTTTCCGGAAGTGAGAATCAAAATGATCTATCTTCAATTGTTCACTCAGATCAGTTGAACGGTGAACTCTTACCAGCTGATAGTACAATCACTGGATCATCTAACGTGAGTAAATTATTGGCACAACAGATTATCATACCGAAAGCTTATCACAAGTCTTGTTTGCTCAGATAATTTCTCTGTGATGTGTTTCATCTACATGAGTTTCTCTTCACCAATTAAATATCATACTGATAGCGTTTAGCGTTTTAGTTTTTTTTTTTTTTTTTTTTCCAATTCTCTTCAGCGAAACAGTAGCAATTTATAAAGTACTCGATTATATCATATTAATTTATGGAGCTCACAAGGGTTTTTGCTGGTTTTTTGTCGGGCCCCCTCCTTATTACAGTTTTTTTTTTCCTAAGGAAAGTTTTTGTGTTTTCTTAGAGTTATGAGCTATATGAGTATTAAAATGATTGTTTGTATTGTAATGTAGGGGGAGATGACAATGTCAGATCAGATGGATCTACTGGTCGAGCAAGTTAAGATGCTGGCTGAAGAGATTGCGTTTGAAACCAGCGCACTGAAACGTTTGATTGAGCAGTCTGTTGATGATCCTGATGGTTCTAAAGTTCAAGTATAGTCATTCATGAGCTTTCTTTCTTTGCTGCATCTTATTGACTCCAGAAGTTGACATAAGGTTTTTAAGCCAATATTTTAATCATGTCTCTGTTCCTTCATCCAGATCCAGAACTTAGAACAAGAAATTCAAGAAAAAAAGAGGCAAATGAGAGCTTTGGAACAACGAATTAATGAGGGTAGCGAGCCTTCAATTTCTAGTGCATCGATGGTTGAAATGCAGCAGGTGCTGCTTCCTGGAGCTTATTGACCTGCCTTCAAGTGTTTTAACTTATTTTTATATTAGAATTTTTTAAAATAATTTTCTACTGCTTTTGTCGGTTGCAGACTGTTACAAGATTAACGACTCAGTGCGGTGAAAAGGAATTTGAGCTTGAGGTAAGTTTTCTGAGTTAAATTAATTTTAGGACTTTGATACAATGTTGTTAAATTAAATTAATAAGGTTTTTACTACCTCTGTTCTCTATTCAATTCATGTACACTCTTTTCAAAATATCCCTGTAGTGGAAAATTATCGAGCAATTGATCTTATTGAGAAGCTTCCTTCTCCTTGTTCCCCCTCGTTTAGTTTTGGAACATCACTTGCTTCCATATTTGTCTGCTGGCAGTGTGCAGAGAACAGAGAATTACAGGAGAAAGTAGAACTCTTAGAGCATCAATTGGCTTCAGTTACTAGCAATAAAATGTCAACTTCATCTGAAAATTGTCTTCCAGAAAAATATGTAGAAGAATTCAAAAAAAGATTCAATCTCAGGCAAGACTTTTCACTTTTGGTTATAGTAGTTTTGTAGATTACTGATTCTTGAAGCTTCATCTATGGCATCCCTGTCTATAATTGGATGAGAACACTAATAATTTTGAAGGATGAGGGGCTGTGCTGTATGCTTCTTTACAACATGGCTTGTTCATTTTGCAGTTTACTGTAGATTTGTATTTCTAATTATTTACATATTTGATATTTTTCTATAACATAGAGCTATGGCTGTGTGTTTGATGATCTGAAGATTGTTTATTTAAGCAGGAGATAGAGAATGAGAAACTGAAATTGGAATCAGTTCACTTTTCAGAAGAGATCAGTGGGTTGCATGTACAGAATCAAAAACTGGCAGAAGAAGCTTCTTACGCAAAGGAGCTAGCCTCTGCTGCTGCTGTTGAGTTGAAAAATTTGGCAGCTGAAGTCACGAAGCTCTCCTTACAAAATGCAAAATTGGAAAAGGAGTTATTGAGTGCGCGAGAATTGGCTCACTCTAAGAATACACAGAATAATCACAGTGGGAACCGCAAGTACATTGATGGTTCAAAACCTGGAAGGAAGGGAAGGCTCTCTGGCCGGTCTATTGATGTTTCAGCAGCAACCAGTGATGATTTTGAATCTTGGAATCTTGATCCAGATGATTTAAAAATGGAACTTCACGCAAGGAAACAAAGAGAGGAGGCCCTTGAGGCTGCTTTAGCTGAAAAGGAGCTCCTAGAAGATGATTACCGAAAGAAAATGGAAGAGGCAAAGAAAAGAGAAGCGGCTCTTGAAAATGATTTAGCCAATATGTGGGTACTGGTTGCCAAGTTGAAGAAAGAGGCCGGAGGTGGAGCTATCTCAGATGTTAAAAGTGATGCAAGGCAGAATTCTGGAACAGAAAATGATATCGATACAAAGACGGATGATAATGAAACCATAACCATCTTTAAAGAGGATGCTGATCCTGTAGATGATTCGAAAAAATCTGAAGAAACCCATGAGGAGGAACCACTGGTTGTTCGCCTAAAGGTATGAAATTTCAGCAGAGAGATCACTGACATATTTGTGAAATTTTTTGTAACAGCCCATCAAGCCCAAGCCCACGGTTAGTAGATATTGTTTTCTTTAGATTTTTCCTTTCGGACTTTCCTTCAAGAATTTTAAAACGTGTCTGCTAGGGAGAGGTTTCCACACCCTTATAAAGGGTCACCCCAACCGTTGTGAGATCTGAAAATCCACCCCCTTTAGGGCACAACGTCCTCGATGGCACTTGTTCCTTTCTCCAATCGACGTGGGACCCCACCAAATTCACCCCCTTCGAGGTCCAGTGTCCTTACTGACACACCGCTTCATGTCTATCCACCTTCAGAGATCTCCTCGTTGGCACATTGCCCAGTGTCTGATTCTGATACCATTTGTAACGACCCAAGCCCACGGCTAGCCGATATTGTCCTTTATGGGCTTTCCCTTTCGGGCATCCCTTCAAGGTTTTTAAAACGCGTTTGCTAGGGAGAGGTTTTCACACCATTATAAAAAGTTTCATTCTCTCCAACCGACGTTGGATCTGACATTTTTTGTTTTTGACAAGATTTGTTGATGATTACCTTTCAGGCACGGATGCAAGTGATGAAGGAAAAGGATCTGAAGTGCCTAGAAAATGTAGATACGAATTCACACACGTGTAAAGTATGTTTTGAATTGCCAACTGCAGCAATTCTTCTTCCATGTCGACATTTTTGTTGTAAGTTTTCTTAAACCTTCTTAAAATTCCTACATTTTGATATTCTAATTATTGGCATTTCTGAAACTGGCAGTATGTAAATCTTGTTCACTTGCCTGTTCTGAGTGTCCAATCTGTCGGACAAAGATTGTAGATAGGCTCTTTGCATTTACTTCTTGACATGTTCTTCCATGCCTGCCTTTCCCCACAAGGTAAATTCATTCTATCCCTTCTCCTATTCCATCAATCACTGGTTCACCGCTTCCCTGTATCATAATCAATAAAGCCCAAAGCCTGTTTTACTGGCAGGAATTCAATATTGAATCTACAATGCGACGGAGGACTAGATTCTTCTATTTGATTTGCTTTACATGCAACTGTACAAAAAGGTACATAATTAATTTATTGTGATCCAAGTCTCTGACAGATGTAAAATAATAATACCAGAAGTAGTTAAGGAACTTCATATTTCAACATGGAAATCTTCTTTGATTAGTTGTTTCACTTAAACTACCAATTTATATCTGGAGAGGGCTCTAGAACATCCTTCTATATATATATATATATATGTATGTATGTATGTATGTATATGCATATCATTAATTCAGTCGCATTGTGCTTGTAGAACCTTTTGCCTTGTGGATCTCTGTCCCTGTTCAATTCATGCAGATTTGGAAACATTGTGCTTGTAGAACCTTTTGCCTTGTGGATCTCTGTCCCTGTTCAATTCATGCAGATTTGGAAAAGGGTTTGTTTTTGTTTTCTTGCACAATATTCCTTCCTTCTACTACTATCTTAATATTTATTCAAGGCTGTCATTAAACGATGTCGTTTTATACGGACATTCTAGAGAGAGAGAGAGATAATATTTATTCAAGGCTGTCATTAAACGATGTCGTTTTATACGGACATTCTAGAGAGAGAGAGAGATAAGGATAAAAATAAAGAGAGATTGGAAATTTAAGGAATGAACAACATACGGCTGCAGCTTGCTGGAATATTGTTGGGAATTTCTAAAAGTAAGCATTTAATGCAACTTAATAAATGTCTGGCTTTGTTCTGGAATATTGTTGGGAATTTCTAAAAGTAAGCATTTAATGCAACTTAATAAATGTCTGGCTTTGTTCTTTGTATGTATTAATAAAAGAAAATAAAACTTATAATAATAAAATAATGGAAATTAGATTTGTTATCTTCTTCTGAGTTCTTCTCTGAAGTTCGCTTTTTCTGGTAAATATTTCATTCTGACCTTAACTAACCCTCAGAGCTATGTTTCCTGTACTAGTTTCTTGTTGCTGTACTATTCAATGGTCAATAGAATTAAAAGACTTTTTTATCTTTCTTTCTTTTCTTTTCTTTTTTTTTTTTTATTTATAAAAAAAGCTCATTTATGTTTTGATGTATTAAGTTATATTCTATTTTGTATTTGTAGTTAGTAGAATTTTTATTTTAATTTAGAAACTTTTTAACGGGTTTGGTCGGCCTAAGTTCAAGCCTACCGCTAGCCGTTACTGTCTTTTGTGAGCTTCCTTTATCGAGCTTTCAAGTTTTAAAACATGTCTGTTAAGGGGAGGTTTCCATACTCTTATAAGATTATTTTATTCTCCATAACCAATATAAAATTTATAGTTGTGTAAGAGTAAAAAGTAAAATGTTAAAATTTTTACTATTTTTATTCATGATTAACTAAGAATGATGATGCTTCCAATAAAATATTTTATGGTGAGTAATAAACAAAAATATTTAATTTAGTTTGAAAAAATTGAAATAAGCGCTCAAACTCAAAAACAAACTCTCGAAATAAATTATAAAAAGACAAAAGAATAATAAGGCAAAATACAGTTTTAATCTATTGAGAATGATTATTATTATTATCATCATCGTTGTGGGGTTAGGAATTACAAACATTCAATGGTATGATATTGTCGACTTTTATCATAAGCTCTCGTAATTTTACTTTCATCGATTTCCTTAAAAATCCATAACCTCTTAATTCGTCTGACTCTTCTCACAACAATCCTTAACATGCTAAAGGGTTTCAAAGCGACAGCGGTGGTCGTCGGTTTCGTTGGTTAGAGGGGAGAATGTTGGATATAAAGAAGATTAGATGTAAGGAAAGGGATATGGAGTTGAGAAACCTGACTGAACCCAAAAATAAAAAATAAAAAAAGTCCATGTATTTACACAGAAATGTATGGATATAAGGACATTATTCACGGCAAAAAAATTTAAATTTATATCTATGTTAGTTAATTTTTTAAATTAATTTACGTAAAAAGAAAGTCTAGGAGCTTAAAAATACTAGAAGTTTTAATTCTAAAGTTCCGTTTATAATTGAAATAAAAATAATAATTAAATAATTAACCTAACTCATTAAAAAATTTATGTAAATAAAACTAATAAAAATGATAACTGCCAAATCTTTTATTATTATTATTATTATTATTATTATTCAACTAAACCATTTCGAATTAAATTTGATGGACCAAAAATATATTTGGCCTAAAATAATAATCTGGGAATGTCCCCAATAAAAAATAAGTTGTTTAGTTGCCAAATCAAACCAAACAAACAAATTGATTTCGATTCCAATCTCATCATAACCAGTTAAAAATTTACCAGATTTGTTTCAGATCCGAAGCTGCTGATGATCTGATCAGCAACCGTGCCATTTTTTCATCTTTACAAGTTTTCATGGAGATTTTAGCTCCATTCCAAGATGTAGTTTGAGAAAATTTACCAAAAAATTTCGAGGTGTTGCCAAATCTGACGGTGCCTAACGATTCTTGCTGGCTCTCCAGATTCTGATTCGCAAATGCATTAAGCTGTACCGATCCAAAGAAGGAACCATTAGAATGAGAGAAGAAGAGGAAGAAGTGTGAAGCAAGCAAACATGGAGGTTCGTGAAATTACTTTCACTCTACACCGAGGGTGTACTGCGAACCTTACAGAAGTGATTGGCAACGGCGGAAGGATCGAGAAATTCCTCCAAGCACCATTCCGGCAATGTCTCCAAATATTCCGATATGCTGCTCGTCGAGAAGGAACCGCCGTCGCTTGCTTGGCCGTCTTCGACCTTGTAATTACTTGTCGATGGAGCAGCTTTTTCAGCGGAATGAGAGCTGATTGCCTTCACGGCCATTTTAGGCCTCTTGCTGCAAGCGTGAGAGCTTCCAGTTTTAACATCCATGGCCGCATCGCAGCCATGGGAGGACGAAGATGTTTGGGACGAAAAACAAGTCGAAGAAAGCTTCACACCTGTGAGAAGAAATCGACTATGCTTCTGCGTATGTTCGTTCGTTTCGTGGATCGAAATGTCGCATTCTCTGCAAATAATTGCCCTATCTTGTTGACAGAAAACGAGCGCGCGACGTTCCTGCAAATGAAATCAAATTCTGTAAGAATCCTCTCCTTCTGACACCGAATCAACGATCGCCAAATTATTCCAACTCCACAAATCGACGAAACGAAGGATATCAGAAACAGACGAAACAAAGCAGATATTTCCAAGAAGGTACAAAAAAACGCAAAGATTCTCTTCAACACCGATTCGATTTCACAAAAACCTCAAAATTCAAAACATAAACATTTTCCAGAATCAAAATTACCTGACAGATATCGCAACGAGGAGAATCCTTTTTGATCGGCTGAATTAAGGAGAATCGTGAGTGCTTTCCAGCGAGCTTGTTGGCGCGGTGAACATGGAGATCGCAGCCATGGCAAAGAGCGGCTTCATCAGCATAACAAAAAACAGAGGCCTCAGCCTGATCACAAACATCGCAACGGATCTTCATGATTCTTTCTTCAACAGAAAGAAATAAAAAACCGAACAGAATCTTGTGGCTCGATTTCACCTCTCTCTCTCTCTCTCTCTCTGTGCCTGCCTGCCTTTTCGCTATCTGAAAATTCTGAGGGTTGAAAGAGAGGTGGATTTAAAGCGGAAGATGGAGACAAAGTATTATGGGCTCTCGGCCATTACTGGACAAGAACAACAGCTAGGATTAAAGCTCTTTATTGTTCTCTGACCATTTAAGAAAAGCTCTAGAAAAATCGGCCATGGCCCCCTTCTCTCTCTTCCTTTCTCTTTCTACTGTGATTTCTTTTAAAGGAGATGCAAGTGGTGGGGGGCAAACCCAACTTGGGCTCTCCTATATAGCCTTAATTAAAATATATATATATATATATATATATATATATATATATATATATATATATATATATATATATATATATATATATTTTATTCCAATAAAATTTTAAAATTAAAAAAAAAAAATTATTTTCCTAAATAATTTCAATTTTTTTTGCCATTATTTTTTTAATAACTCTATTATTGTTCTAATTAATAGAGGTACAGGTGGGTTAGGTTTGAGCCTGATTCACATTTTTTTTAATCCAATCAAATTGTTTCATTTGTAATTTTTAAAAAAAAAAATTAAATAATTCTCGTTAATTTAATTTAATTATTAAATTTTTTCGGGTTGATTTTAAAATTAAAATTAAAATTTTAATAAAAGTAAAATATTAATTCATATAATATCTATTTATCTATTTATAATAATTAATAATATTTACGACTCAATTTTAATATATATTTTAAAAAATTACTTTTAAATAGTTAAATTTTTTTTAACAAAATAATTACCATTTATTTAAGTTTAATCTAACCCAAATGAGTTTATAATTACGGGTTGGATTGAATTAGGTTGAGTTGTTCAAATTCTTCTAAATTGTACCGGGTTGATCAGATTTTTCTAGTTATCAAATATTTAACACAAAGTACTATGTTACAATTTTCGCTCGTTGATGTTTATTGATTTTTTTAATGTGAATAATTATAGATCGATTTGTGTTTGTTTGTAAACTTTTAATATATTTTATCTAAGATTGTATCTGAATAATTATAAACTGTAGATAAATAAAACTTAAAAAAAAAAATTGATCGATAACCCAACCCTGAAAATTTTTTGGTTGGGTTGGGTTGACCGAATTTTGAGTTGGGTAAAAAAAAATCTCTTAACCCAACCCAACTAGGACCATGTACACCCCTAAATTAACCTGACCCTTTTAAGTGACCAATTATACGTCGTAATTGTTTTTTTAGTTTGTGAAACATTTTTCTGTACAAATTTAAAATATTTTTACCGTTTCTCATACATTTGACAATACAAAATAGTCTATTAGATTGCGATGAATTTCTTGATTAGAAATGCCTTAGATATAGTCCGTTCAAATATGTTGAGAAAAAAAAAAATCCCATTGTTTGATGTAGTGATTATCGGGACATATACCCAAAAAAACTTTAGAAAGACTATAAGGAGATAGATTCAAATTTCATAGCGGTTGGATTTTAAACCCGAGACAACTACTTGTAAATGTGCCAACATTTTGATTGACGACTTTAAAAAACAGTGAAAAGAGTCATAGACTTGAATATAGTTCAACTCGTTGATCATAACGTATACAAGTGGACTCCTTCATACGTCACCATTTTAAATTATAATCAATGTTTAAAAAGACAAGACAGCTTACTTCAGGTACAATTCGATTAGTTTGAATATTTAAATCTCGTGGTGGTTGGATTTTAAACGCTACGATAGCTACTTGCTAGGATTGGCAATTCAATGTTGTTAAGGTACCAATATTTTCATTGAGGTACGTACAAGTTTCGGCTTCATTTTCAAGATTTGTGAATATTAAAAAATTAAAAAAAAAATTGTAGACTCGAGTATAGTTCAACTCATAAGTCATAATTATGGCAAGTGGGCTCGTTCCTCTCTGTTATTAATAAAAACTAGTTGAAGTTTTTTATTGGAAGTATTAAAAAAAAAAAAAAAC